AAGTCCTGGAGATTTATGTCTGGCAAGGCTTGACTTTCCAGATAAAATTTCTTATAAATAAATAAAAATCCCATACAACAAATGTCCTTTCATGCCTGGAGGGCTTCGATTTGAGGGGGTGACTATCATTGAGTTATAAAGACCAGGAAGTCAAAGGATTCTATCCCACCCATCAGACCACTGCAGTCCTTGTTTCTAGATATTCATTTAAAAAGGTCAGAGTCACTTCTGAAGGAGATGGGATGGGGCAGGTTGTGGTTGAAGGAGGTGAGCAAAGGAAAGAAATTTTATCTTGGAATTATATGTTTTAATATATTTTTTTCATTATAGGCTTATGCAGTTTAAAAAAGAACAGGAATGTATTTGTGCATTACTTCTGTAAATATGTAAGAGTGTATACCATAAAAAGGTTCTGGCAATTTTCCTATGGTTTGCTCTATAGCATGATTAGTAACAGTTACTAGTATAGTAATTGTCACTATATTTTGACTCATAGTGTGACCACCTAGCCCAGTGGGATGTTGAATCTCTCTTAAGAGTGCAGTGGCATCTCAGAATACTCGGTAAAGCAGGAGCACTGTGCTTGTTGGAAATGAAAGGCTAAGAAGCTAGTGCTCTGGGAAGGTGTCCCCAGAGGAGAGCCTCTCAGGCATTGTTGTCCTTTTAGTGTCCCTTCTTGCAGTTTGGCTGTAGTCTGGGGAGTCTCTTTTCCTGTGATCTTGGAAGCTCTGTCTTGCTTTGCTAAGTGAAACCGTCCTTTAGTCAGTCAGGACATTTGTTCTTACCGAGGCCCACATGTTAGCACCATTCGCCATTTGTTGTAACAGCCCTGCCCCCTGTCACGACTCCTTTTTCAGAGCAAAATTAATTACTCTTCATTCTTGATGGTATTAGGACAATAGTCTTATCTTCTCCCTCCTGAGAAGGGCATTGTCCCTCCCTCAGGACATGAGGAATAAAAACCCAGTCAGGGAGAGTGACTTATGGGGGTCAGGGTGTGGCGTTGGCTGGAGTCCTTGTATGATCATCATTTCAAGGTGAAATTTCTGCATTTAGGTATATATTTCTGCATTTAGGTAGAAACAAATTTGGCCAAGTAAAAAGGGGCTCCAAAAGACTACAGAAAGGGAGAGGTTTTTAGAGGCACTGCAAAGAGGTCATAAAAGAAAAAGGCTTACTTCAAACTTAGTCAGCCTGACCTGTGGGGAATGCAAAGGGCTTGTATGACAGATGATCACATCTGACTTTGGAGGCTAGAAAGGATGGCATCTGGAGCGCTGGCTAGAAAATTCCACACTGGCCATTTAAGACAGCATTCTTGGGGGAGGTAGTAAATGCAGGGGGCTAAGTGTTAAGTCTTGATGGGTTTAGCACGTTGGACTCCGTTTTGGAGCTGTCACTTCTTTTTCACCAGGTCTTGCTAAGTTTCCTCCAGTTACCTTGTGTTATGCTGATCAGGTCTCAGCTGAAGTCTGCACTCTCTTTGGGCTTATTAATTTTGTGGTTCAGTACATTCTCATTATTGTTAGACTGTGAATAAGCACCTCCATTGTTTGCTACTCAAAGCATCCTAACACACGTAAATGTTATGTTTGATGTGATGTCAAGAAAACCACTAAAAACAGTTCAAGAAAAAAGTCAGAAAAACAAGGAAATTATGATTCAAATTTGGATGTATGCTGCTATTATTGATATAATATTAAAGTAAAAAAAATCTACAAATAGGGAAGATTTTATATGCTGTATGTTCAGCAGGCTTTTCATTTTTACCATAGTATATTTATCCAAGAAGCCAGGATGTGGAAAGTGATTGGTGTTGTAAAGAGAGCTGCGTATTGAAATATAAAAATTGTCAAAATGTTGAGAAAATGTCAAGTTACATTGTGCAGGTAACTGATAGCAAAATTGAACAATTTATTGATAGAAGTGTTTTATTATTTGATATCTTTGTTAGTTGGTCATAATATCTGATTATCAGCCCTATTTGTGAAATTAGAATTTACCATAAACAACTACTGAAGTCATGAGTTTGACAATCTCATAGTCTTTTTTTTTAATTTATTTATTTATACAAGCACTGGATATAGTCAGAAGCACGGGAGGGTGAGAGAATTCACCAGAGCCAGAGCGGGGAGCAGAACAGGCAGACTGATGAAGTACACTGCTGAGGGGCACAGCAGGCAAGGCAGGAGAGGTCTGCGCACCATGTGGGGCCATTGCCGGAGTCCCGGGATCGAACCGGCACTGCAGAGGCTGCGGGCAGCTTCGCAGCCCAGCGCTCAACTGCTGCGCCACCTGTGGAGGCCCGACAATCTCATAGTCTTTAACCAGTTTTGTGACGAGACTCACAATCTTTAACCAGGAATTTCTGCAACCTGATTTGCAATATAGCCCTCCCTCCCCCCTCTTTTTTCTAAGACCCCTTTTCTAAAGGCATGCTTTGTGAACTACCCTTTGCTTTTGTTGATTCCCTTTGTTAACAAGTCTACAATGAAGCTGTGCAATCGTGTGATTTGTGGTACTTTTTTAAGAGTACCTGCAACAGGTCCTCCCCTCCCTGTATATAGGCATGTTTGCAGCGGGATACTTTGCCTTTAAAGATAGAGTCTGTTTCTCTGCCCTTGAATTTGGACTAGTGTGACTTGCCTTGATCAGTAGAATGCAGTGGGAGGGATTTTGTGCAACTTCTGACTTCAGGCCGCAAGAGATCTTGCAGCTTCTGCCTGTGCTGTCTTGAAATGCTAGCCTGGGACCATTGTGTGGAAGCCTGTGGAGCCTGAGGTGGGATGAGAAGCCACAATGGGGAGGACCAGGTTGCCCCAGCCAGTAGTAGCACCATTGCCAGTCATAGGAGTGAGAATATCTGGGGCCAACCAGCTCAGCTGTCCCCTTAGCTAAAGGCAGCCACATGGGTAACCCTGGGTGAAGCCAGCCAAATGACTGCTTAACCATCTCATGGTGTCATGAAAAATCAAATTATTGCTGTTTTCAAGTATAATGTTTGTTTGACATCAAGTTATCTCTGATAACTGCCAGATAAATCGGCAGAGAACACAGTTTAAAATATAAAGGCATTATGAAACTTGGCTACGAGCTGTCTTCAAATCTGAAGAAATAAACTAAGTTCCATCCAGTGTAGTCAATTTGTCCAGCCTTAAAGGTTCCAGATCTCAGAGTTGAGACATCAGGAACTGTGGTCACACCCTGAGGGCAGCTGCCTGTTACAGACATTCCTTCCAGATACGGCAGGTCCAGACCACTGCAGTAAAGTGAATATTGCTATCAAGTGAGCCACAGGGATTCTGTGGTTTCCCTGTGCAGATAAATGTTATGTTTTCACTCCACTGTGATCTGTTATGTGTGCAATATACAGATTTCACCTGGGGAGGTCGTGCTAGCCACCTCTAAGAGGCAGTCATCCTCCAAATAGTGGAAATTAAGGTGCAAAGGAGAGAGTCAGGGCACTGCTGATTAGCAGAACATGGCTGCCATGTACAGCATGTCAGCGTAGTGTTCCTTCTGCGGTGTCCACTCTCCAGGTGTGCTGTGCTGAGTGCCTCTCTCCACTTTGGTCTCTCCGTTCTGAAAGGTGATAATACTCTGTCTCAGAGAGTTGTTTTCAGGGTTGACCATCTCCTCTGATATCTCTTCCCAGCTAGGTCTCCACTTTTGGACTTCCGCATTCCTGTGTACATTGCCCGGTTTTAGCAAGAATCTTGTCGGGTCAGTGTAGCCAGAATCCCCCGCCCTCCGTATCTGATCACCCTGGATCTCTGACCAAATTCCTTATTCCCCATCAGCTTCATGGGCTATCAGCTCCATGGCTGGCCTTCTGCAGGAATCCTGTTAGGTTGTGTGGTCAGAGACATTTCACCCCTGATGTCTCCTTTTAGTGATTTTGTATCCACCGACCCCCAACTGCTCCTGGGCTATGAATTCCCAAGTGTTCTTGTGTTTAGAACTAAACCCATTTCTTTTTTTTTTTTTAAAGATTTATTTATTTATAAATACAAGAACTGGGGTGCAGACCAGAGGTACGGAGGGTGAGAGGATCCTCCAGAGACAGAGTGGGGGACAGAACAGGTGGATCTGCTGAAATACACTGCTGAGGGGAGCATCGGGGAGACAGGAGAGGTCTGCTGCGCCATGTGGGTAGCTCTCTGGACAGGGATCAAACTCATGCTGCAGAGGCAGTGGGCAGTTCCACAGTGCTGTGCTCAAACCCTTGTGCCACCAGGGAGGCCCCTAAACCCAGTTCTACACTGAGGTCCCTTGTCCCCTATTGCAATTTTCCTGAGTAAAGTCTATTTCACTCCAGGTCTTGATTTTCTTTGACAGGATTCAATGGTTTAATGTATGAAAAGCACTTCCCTAGCACAAGTTAGCCCTAGCCCTATGTGTCTTAGCTTTACCATTCATTTTGAAGCCTTTAACTTCAGTTCCCTAGCCAATGGGGGCAAAGACACAGCCCTGCCATGGAGGTCCAGGAAGCAGGTGCAGACATGTCTTACAGGTCCCTGACCTCCTTCCCTCTGCTCTCTAAGTTGTTCTTCCCTGGTTCTCACAGTCCCACCTCACCACCTCCTCTTCTTCCTCCCCAAGGGGTGGGGCCCTGTTTTCTATCTCAGTCCAGGCTCTTGGCATTTACTTATCTTGTTCTATAATGAGCTCTTTATTTCCCAAAGACACAGTGCTACTTTGAACTCTTTGTTATTTTTCCAAGGACCTCTATCTGCTCCGCTCCCTTCCACCAAGGCCATCCTCACTTGTTATCCTCAGTGGCAGCAGGCTGAGGATAACATTTTCCCTGTGCAGAGCAGCTAGCTGGCCTCTAAGTAAAATAACTAAATTCTCCTGTGGCTTTAAGTAAAGAAAACACTTTGCAAGAAATGTGGACTGAGAGAGTATAAAATTGGGGGCCCCTTCTAATAAGGTCTTGAGGTTTAGGGTCATGAAGACCAACAGCCTTGTAGCCTTCTATACTACTTTTCTACGGGGGTAAAAATAAGGAGCATTTCATGAATTTGTGTGTCACCCTTGCATAGGTTTGTGCTGATCTTCTCTGTGTTGCTCTGATTTTATTCTGTTCTCTGCCAAAGCAAACTCTCTTGTAGGGTAAATGAATTAAGCAGGCTTTTTCACCACTAGCCTCTGTGGCTTCATCTGCTGCCTTGATGGCGTTAACGCAGAACACGCTTGGGAGTGTGGGTGAGGGCATGCGTGCCTGATTGTGGACACCTGGAGCGTGGGTGTGGGCATGTGTAGGTGTGCACCCCTGAGCCTGGAGGCCGGTGCTGTAAGGGCTGCGTCACTCAGAAATGGAGAACAGTTACAGGAGGATGGCTATGGGAAGATGGCTATGAGAGGATGCATGACTACATGTAGAAGAGGCTAGAGACTCTGAGAGAAAGCCCAGAAAAAGAGTAGAGATTCATGGGGGGCTGGAGGCTTGGATACCTACCTGCCTCCCAGAACATCCTGCCTATCCCGGGCCTGTATCCTTGTGTGCCAGCCTCCCTGCCCAGTGTGCCTTGTTCCCTGAGCGAGAGCATTAAAGCCTGAAAAGATCCACTGAGGGCTCTGGGACTCTCCTTTATCAATCTGCCTGAGTCGCTAGTGAACCTGCCCTGTGCGTGCTGGCACTACGGCTGATGTGAGTCAGCAGGATTCAGTGAAGAGAGGTGTGGGGCTCTGCGGACGGGGTGAGGGGTGGCACGCTGTGAGCATGTAGTGCTCGGTAGGCTAGCTCCCCTCTGTATAGGCACCTCCCCAGAAGTGGCCTGAGATGAATGAGCCCTGAACAGACATGGTGCCTGCTCAGAGGTGGGGCTGGGGGATGAGTGGTGCTGAATTGTGCTGGAGTCCAGGAGCTAGACCCCAAAAGCTCAGTCCTTGGACCTTGTCTCAGCCAGGAAGTAATTCAACATCGAGACCAGAGTTAGACAGGAAAGCAAGAAGTTTATTGTCAGAAAAGGAGGAGGACAGGAAAGCTCTCCGAACAGACAGGAGCACATGGCCATCAAGGGGTCTTTGGGTAAGCCTTTGTGTCTCTTTCTAGGGTCATGTGGGGTGAGGAAGTTGCGGTCTTCTGGTTGGTCAGTCCCCAGTGGCCTTTGTCATTTTGCTTGCTCTTCTTGTTTTCACTGGGCCATTTTACAAGGGTTCTATTTTATTTTATAATTGTCGGGGCCCACCCTATTTGTCACTGATTGGGGTCCCACGTCTCTGACTAGCTGTCTACCGGTCACCTAACTTCTTCCTTCAGTGCTGTAGATACATGATAAAGCAAGTACAGAAAAATGCAGTTGGAGAATCTAGGTGATAGGTATGTAAGTACTCCCTAGAAAATTTTTGCAACTTCTCTGTATGTTTACAATTTTTCATAATAAAATGCTGGGGGGTATCCATCACTGACTCCCCATTGCCTACAGAATAAATCAGCATCTTTTATCACATAACCCAGTCTCCCATTCCCACCTTAGTCTGGTGACCTCGTTCCTCTCCCAGTGTTTCGCAAGTGGCGCTGCTTTCCCTCGAGGGCGTGTGGTCCGTTTGCAGGGTTCCTTAGCACCTGCTGGTCCAGCTCATGCTTACTCAGTGCTCCTCACCCACTGATCAGTCATGGCTCCTCAAAACTGGGCCAGGCGTGGTTTGCTGGCTTCATTATGATCATCCCAGTGTACATGTGAAAAGCCTGTAGTACACAGGAGATGCTCACAGTGGTAAAATAATTGACTTATATTCCCATGGTAGACCCTAAACCCAGGACATGACTCCAAAGTCCACCACTAGTCAAGCAGGACCAGAAAGCAGAGGTCTGCAGGAAATGGTTCTCCCTTTTGAGAAGTACAGCCTAGCAAGAAATGCAGCAAGGGTTCTTTTGAAAACACAGCCACAGATTAGAAAGCATTGAGTGCCACAAGGAAGCAAAGGCCAAAGTAATAAATCTAGGAGTTCAGGGGATGGGTGATTACATTTGTTTGGGGGTGAAGGAAAGGAATCCTCCACGCTTTGGTACCCTTGCCATTAGCTAGAGATTTTTATTTAAGGGTGATTTTTGTAGAGGCAAAATAAGGTGAAAAGGAAGACATATGTCTGGATAATTCAGACAAACCATGAGTTAGGAGCCTGAGTTGACCTTTATCATTCATTTAGTGAACACATATGTATTGAATTTAGAAGTGGCAGGCACCTGGAATATTCTGGTTGACAAGACTAGCAGGGTCCTCCTTTTCATGGATGTCGTGCTCTCTTAGGAGACGAGGACAGCGCATATGTGAGCAGCCAGATAACACATTTACAATGTGGGGTAATCATGGTGAAAACAAATGAGAGTTGAAAAGGGTGAGGCCAGGGAGAAGACTTAAGGTATCTCTGGTGGCAAGGAAGATCTTCCTTCCTGTAAAGGTGAGGATTTCCTGCCACCTGAGGGAGAGGGGAAGTCAGCCCTGCAAGGGCCTGGCGGGAGAGCGTTCTAGGCAGACGGGACAGCTGTGCAGAGGTGTATAAAACCTTCTGCAGAGAGACTGGCCCAAGGTAAATTGTGGAGAGAGTTAGCATCCAGGATATGCAGGTAAAGCTAATGGGAAAGACGGCATTTATGGGTTTTGTGAACTAGGACATGACAAAGAAGAATCTTGTCTAAGGTTGTGCTTGTTGCTGTGCTAAGAATGGAATGGAGCAGGGTTGGAGCAGGGGGCCTTGCTGCCCCAACCAGCTAAGACGCTGGTAAACAAAAGAAAGGGCCTCACACTGTGGGGCCAAAGATTTTCAAAGAGCCTCACACCGGGGGCTGAAGATTCCCTGCACCCTATACCGTGGGGCCGAAGATTAATCTGCAACCCACGAACATCCCCTTGTTTTTTGTTCTTGGTCATATAAGAAAAAGCTTCTTGGAAAGTACATTGGGCAATAAATTATACGTGTAAGAATACTGCGAGTAAATGGCACAAAGAAATACCTGCTTAAAAATTAAACACTGTAAATTTGGCTTGCCTGACAATGGGAAATAATTTGTTGTACATGAACATGCCTGACAAGCAATCCAGGACAACGACTACAGTAATTCCTTCTTTTGCCTTTTTTAGAAGTTTCTTAGGAAAGTTTTTTAATGATCTATGAAGTTAATTGTGTTAAGAAGTTTCTAGGTAGAAAACACTGTTAGCTGATAACCAGGAAGCAGCTGGTCTCCGGCTGAAGGCCATATGGATAGAGGAGTGTTTTGATGCTTAGGCTTTAGCTGATAGGAGTGTACCCACGGCTATCGGCCGTCTTAGGTAATTGGCTAAGCTGAAATAATGAGTTTTAGTGTAAGGTTTAGTTTTTTTTATCTATTAACCTTGAAGGCTGCCTTCTTGCTGAGAGCACCTAGGAGCCAGAAGTCTATGGGAAAAGAATGCACTGATTGTTTCTGCTTTGCTTCCATGCCTATGTTGGTGTAATCGCACCACTTTGCCTGAATGTATTAATAAAGACCCGCTGAGGCCTCCCCGGTGGCACAGCAGTTGAACGCTGGGTTGCGAAGCTGCCTGCAACCTCTGCAGTGCCGGTTCGATCCCCAGCTGCTCCCCGGCCACCGGAGGAGGGTCCCGCATGGCGCGCAGACCTCTCCTGCCGCCCGCTGCTCCCCTCAGCAGTGTACTTCGGTCCTTCTGCCTGCTCTGCTCCCCGCTCTGGCTCTGGTGAATTCTCTCACCCTCCCGTACTTCTGACTGTACCCAGCACTTGTATAAATAAATAAAAAATAAATAAATCTTTAAAAAAAAAAAAAGGAGACCTTTTAAAAAAAAAAAAAAAAAAAGACCCGCTGAGACCCTCAGTAGGAGATACCTGCACCCTGATCAAGTGTCTGTGTCTCCTCACTCCCTTTTCCCTCATTCCCGTTTCGCCGACACCGTCTCACCCTTTCAGGAACCCCTGACACGACATTTTGCCGGAGCTGGCCTTCGGCAGGTTGGAATAGGGCTTCCTGATTATATCAGCAAAGAAGGCTGATTTCCACCCACCTCAGCTTGTAACGGCATCAGCTGAACCCTCTAAATCATGCTGTAGTTGTCCATCCTGAAAGGAAACCATCACCATGGCAACAAAGGAAACGCTCATAGTCCATCATCTTTACCCTGTCAATAGACAACAGAAAACTTGTCACATTACAGAATTTTCTGCTATGGAGTGTGCCTGTTAATGTTTATTGACTTGGGACAGTATAACCATTTTTCAAAATGTCAGGGGCCATTATCTTAAACATTCAGGGTCCCAGAAAGCTACTTGTTCTTGGGAGCAGTGCATGAAGTTGCTTTCTAATTATAGCCCTTCTGAATTTCTTGTCCTTTCCTTTAAATAAAGCATCTAGCCATATGTTCAATGAGTAGTAGTCTAAGTTTTATATCTTGCCTCATTTTCTTTGGAATCTGTCAATGTCAGAGCTTTTTACAGTGTTACTGTAAAAATGCACTAAACCTTGGTTGAGAAAACTGACTTCTGAAGATGAAATGATTTTTAAGAGTTAGTGTGGGAGTTTGTGTCCTGCTTGCAAAAATAGTGAAATCAGGCCTTTCAGCTCATTCCCTACTTAGATTTGAGCTAGCTTTTTCAGTGTTGTTGACTGTTTTGCCTGGATTTAAACCAACTTTGTTTGTAGTTCAAAATCATTTCATACTTTAAGAAGTAAGGTCATAGAATATTTCATCCAGAGCCAGCCCAAGTTGGAAAAAAGTAGGCGCTAAATAAAACACACTGAATATATATGAGAAAAATGACATAACTTCCTGTCCCTGAATTAAACCATATGGAGGAAAACTTTTCCATGTTTATATTAAATAATACAGACACCAGGCATAAAACATTTAACTATTCCAAGAAACACTTGCTCTTGGAGGATAAGACCTCAAAACAGGTAAAATGGGTTGCTTATTAAGATTTGCTTGGAGACTTTTGAATCACTGGCATGCCTACCCCAAATTATTATGTCTTAAATTATGCCCAACCCTAGATGGTTCCCTGTCTTGCAAAAACCCACATTAAGATCACTCCACCCAGCCTCCAAATTTCTGCAATTACTCTTTGTTGGTAAAGGGGATCAGAATATGCCACTTCAGGAGCCTTCCTCGTGGCACAAGGACTTAAGACGTAGCACTATGAAGCTGTCCGCAGCCACTGCAGCACAAGTTTGATCCCTGGCCAGGGAGCAACCCACATGGCACAGCAGGCCTCTCCTGTCTCACCTGCTGCTCCCCTCAGCAGTGTATTTCAGTAGTGTATTTCTGCTTGTTCTGCTCCCAACTCTGTCTCTGGTGAATCCTCTCACCATCCATATCTCTGGCCTACACCCCAGCTCTTGTATGCATAAATAAATAAATCTTTAAAAAAAAAAAGGCTTTGCCACCTCAAATATGCTACTCTGGTGTAAGGATTATTTTACACTGAAGTCAACAAATATAGGAATCAACAAATATAGGAAGAGTTCTCTGCCCTCTCATTATTGAAGTGAAAATGGGACATAAATTTCCTTTTAAGTAGGGATCCCCCCTGCTGTATTCTCAGTGCTAGGGAGAAAAAGACTCTTCTCAGCAAAGACAGGGAATCTACACCAACGTACATTATTAAAGTAACTCTTTTCTCCTGTCAGTTCTTGTGGGGAAGGGATGACATGTCCCTGTGTTTAGGGCAGCATACCAGTCCCCCCCCCCAAACTTGCTCATTCTAAATAGGTTCTTTCATCTGCAGCATCAAGACAAAAGATACTCTAGTTTGTAAAATCTTCATTAGGAAGGAACTTTAATACAATCAATGTGTGAGAAAGAGGAGAGAATATAGTTAAAAGTTTCCCCATGAAGCACCCAGAGTTACCTATCCCCTCATGGGTACATGCCCAGCCAAACAGGGTTGGCCCAAAGTAGGGCCACTGAGGTCTGAAAACTGCCACAACTCTAAGATATCTTCTGGGGGTACCCATAGAAAAGGCGCAGAAGGGACCAGGCCAGTCTGGGATGAAAGGAGCAAAATCAAAATACAAGTGAAGATAAGGGCTGCCGTTTTTGGCCTCTCCGCAGGTCTCTCACACACACTCTGTCTCTTTCAAGTGTCTCCCAAGTCCGTGGTCCAAGTCCAAAGCTGAGAAGTAAGCGCAGTTTCTTCACATTTCCCTGTTCCGTGTGCCTCCTACAGGTCGTCTTCTTGATCGCCTTCTGTCTCCCCTCTTCTCTAGCTTCTCCTCACTGTCTAGCTCCACCCTCCCTTGGGTGAGGCAGGGAACCTGGAGCACCCCCTTTCTGTGGATATCACATTGTTACACCTGGAGCTAGACTGGGGCAAAGGGAGCCTCCATGCTGCCTCTCTGACCTTGGAATGTATGTTCCACCCAGTGTTCCAAATAGAAGCCCTTCAAGGATGGCCCTGAGACAGTAATGTGTTGCTGAGACCACCTGGATGCTGTACGTGACCGAACCCAGCTAAAGTCTCTTTACAAACTTTTAAGATTCTGTTGGGTGGGTGTAGAGCTCCTTCGGTCTTGAGGCTGCCCAAGCCAAGCTTCTTAACTAAGTCCCCTTGCTTACTAAAACTCCACTTACCAAGCTGTAGTGGTCTACCTTTTTCTTTTTCTTTTTCTTTTTCTTTTTCTTTTTCTTTTTCTTTTTCTTTCCCTACTGTGCATTGGCGGGGTGTGTGTTTGTGTGTGTGTGTGTGTAGTTTCAGATTATACGTGGGGAACTCCTGAGATTGTGTACCAACAGTTCTCTCCATCTATTTCCTAATCATTTCCCCATAATTTATTACCTTGAGGCCCAAACTCTCTTTCCTTTGCTAAAAAAGGTATGTAATGCCCTGAGTCTAACCTCTTATTTGAGTTGCAGTTCTTTTCTGTGAACTCTGGTGCACAAAATTATTAATCAAAGGTAGTGAAAGATAATAAAGGTACAGACGGCATGGTTACCCTTTTGTTTATTCATTTTCCCAATTTTTTTTCTTCCCCCCTTTAATTTATCTTTCACTAGCTTATTCATAGGCTTTTCGGCAGGAACATAAGAAGGTAGTGGAAAGGTTTATCCTCCCTGACGCTGATTCCCTCTTTTGAGTTACTACCAAGACCCTGACAGCTTGATGGTCTATCTTACTGCAATCAGTCCAGTCACCTTAGCTTTGCTTGATCAATGGGTTTTATCAGAGGTCCTTGGAGAATCAATAACCAGCATACATACAGTGTATGTGGTGTGTAAATATAATAACCCCCCCACCAAAATGCAGTGGTTCTAATTATATGATTGCATAAAATGTGGGGGTATGAGATTGTAAGGATAATGAAATTCCATTTTCTGCATCTCAGATGTGATCTATCTATACTTGGAAACATGATCTATCCTTACAAGCATGCACATTGTTTACTCAGACTAAAAACATTGTATATTGGGGTGATTGCAAAAGTGACTATAACCCAACTCCTATAACCTCATAACTCCTCCCATCAAGAGAGGCCTGCAGGCAGCTCAGCTCCTGTCATGTGATAAAGTCCAGCCTAGACCATCAGAACTACCTACCAAGCCCTCACCTAACACAAGTGGACATGTGAATCCAGCTTAGTCCAACAGAACCACCCAGCTGACCTGTTTAGACTTTAAATGCATATTGTTTTAAATCACTGAGTTTTTTTTTAAGATTTATTTATTTATGCATACAAGACCTGGGGTACAGGCCAGAGGTGTGAGGGGTGAGAGGATTCACTAGAGACAGAGTGGGGAACAGAACAGGAAGAGTGACCGAAGTACACTGCTGAGGGGAGCACTGGGTGAGTCAAGAGAGGTCTGCTGCGCCATGTGGGTTGCTCCTTGGCCGGCTGGGGATAGAACTCGTGCTGCAGAGGCTGTGGATTGCTTCATAGGTTGCGTCTTAACCCTTCACCACCAGCGAGGCCCTTAAGTCATTGAGTTTTGGGGTAGTTTTGTTACACAGCAATAGCTAAGTAGTACATTTAGCTTGGCAGACATTATTTATTATCTAAAAATAGTCTAGTTCCCGCTCTTCTTCCCAGCAAACGTAATATAAATTTTGTTCGGATTCGTTGGCCTGAAGAGCGGGCAGTGGTTAATCACATTTCCCTATATTGCTGTCCACACATAGAGGTAGGCACAGGAGTCATCTGGTTCCTCATAGGACTGTTTCTCTAGTCACTAAGATGTGTCAAAGATGGACAAATGAATCACAGTATGTGCCTTAATCCATTGGATTTCTATAACAATACCATAGACTGGCTGGGTTAAAAACAAACATTTATTTCTTGTAGTTCTGCGGACTGGGAAGGCCAAGATTGAGGCATTGGTAGATCCTGTGTCTGGTGAGAGCCTATTTCCTCTTTCATAGATAATCATCTTCTCTCTGTTTCCGGGCATGATAGGAGATGAAAAGCAGTGCTCCTGGACCTCTTTCTTAAGGCTGCTGATCCCATTCATGAAGGCCTAACACTCACGACCTAATCACCTCCCCAAGGTATCACCTTCTGATACCTTCACAGTGGGGGTTTAGGAGCTCAACATGAGTTTGGAGGGGGACATGAATGTTCAGCCCATGACAGCATGCCGCTCAGATTTCTTCCTTAGGGTTTATTTTACATATAGAGGCTAGAAATGAGAAAAATATGACAGACAGGGCTAACTCAGATTGATCTGTTTTAGAATGAAGCATGAGAAATTGATCTAACATCTGAATATTTTAGAGAAAATTCATGTCTGTGTAATAAACTTACTAGAAAAGTGAATTTAAAAAAGAACAGTGAACTTGAATGTCACCTCCTTCAACATACAAATTGCACAACAAATTAATAGTGAGCCTTTAGACTTCCGGGAAGAGAAATGCCATCTAAAATCAAGATGATACATAATCATTTTTAAGACTCTCACTGAAATTTTCTTTTTTGCCTGCATAAAAACAGAGCAATGGATGTTTATAATGGGTGGGTGATTTGGGTCAAACAAACTCATCTCCAAGGAGATTGAAAATGCTTTTGAAACCTCCTTGATATAGACCACATTTTGTGCATTTTCTTCAAACTCTTATCATTCTGGACCCTGCTTGCCAACTTATCTTGCATCCATATTTTAGCATAAAGCTCCATCTTCTGGAGAAGAAATGACCTGTCAGAGCTGTTCAGCACTTGACTAGCAGGCAGACACAATTGGAAGTTCTGAAGTGATGTCTTTCGTAGTTGTCTGGGCCTTTTCTCATTGGTGGCTCATTTTCCCCTCTTTGGAGCGAGTCTCATCTCAGTGGGCAGTGAAAATAAATCAGCTGGTGACACCTCCCCTTTCTCAAAAACAGAGTCAGAGCCAAGTTTCATGTTTATATTTATTTATTTTTTTAAAGATTTATTTGTTTATACAAGAGCCGGGGTACAGGCCAGATGCACGGGATGGTGAGAGGATTCACCAGAGACAGCGGGGAACAGAACAGGCAGACTGGCGAAATACACTGCTGAGGGGAGCAGGGGGTGCTACAGGAGAGGTCTGCTGCGCCATGTGGGACCCTCGCCGGCCGGCTGGGATCGAACCCGCACTGCAGAGGCTGTGGACAGCTTCACAGTGCGGCGCTCAACTACCTGCGCCACCAGGGGAGGCCCTATATTTATGGTTTTTGTAGCGGGAGGCTGAGTGGTTTCCCTTCCCGCAGCCTGTTCTTTCTGTGATCCTTCACATCCTGAATAGGTGCCGGGTATTATCTTCTTACTCTCCAGAGAAATCAGTTTCTCCACAGCCTGCGCTATATTTTATTCATGTGGTCTATTCTGAAGCTCCTTCTTGAAAGCAAATATTTTAAGAACTATTTTACATTAATGTCATATTTTTGAGAGATAAAAATGGTCAACTTTTGTTTTGTTTTTAAGATAAACTTTGTTTTTAAGAATAGTTTTAGATGTAAAGAATTGTGAAGCAAGACAGTTCCCATTTATCTGTCCAGTTTCTCCTACTATTATCTCATATTAGTGTGGCACATTTCTTACAATTAATGAAATCACATTGGTGCATTATTATTAAAGTCCACTTTTTATTCAGATTTCTTAAGTTTTTTTCCTATTGTCCAGGCAAAAGGTCTTAAAAACCTGTCACTGCGTCAGAATCTCTCTCACCAGTCCTGAGCCTGGCCACCCACCACCACAAATACACACAAAAGAGACTTTGGTGCAGAAAAAAGAAGAAAAGCACACTTCCTTCTCCCCAATAAGGTTGAGGGAGACCTGGCAGGTAGGACTGGCAGGTAGGACTGGGAGAAGGTACACGTACCAGCTGCTCCCACAATTTCCTTATAATTTTCGTCACCATTTCTTCATGAAAGCCACATGCCCAGATGCTGGGTTGCAGCGGCATTAGATCTTTCTGTCAGGTGTCAAAGCTGTGTCGAGTTTTGGCATAAAAAGGGAAACGTTTGCACTAGGGCTGGATTTATCCGCTCATCACAGGAAGAAGAGGAATCCAAGAGAGGAAGTTTGGTGCAAAACTGCTCAGGGTGGCGGTGGTCACAGCCCTTGCTGCAAGCACTCTGTGATGGTGGCAGGCGGTGTGGGAGATCTGACCCCCAGGAACCCTCACCCCGCTGCTATATGTATTATCTGTCTATCAGACCACTGTCATCTGAAACACCAGTGAATATCAGCACTCGCTGTGGTCCCGAGCCTGGACTCAAGCCTGCTCCCTGCCCCTCCACTCAGCACGCACGTGAGACTCCATGCTCCAGCACTCGAGAACCACCGGCCTCCCATGCTCCAATTCTCACAGGTTCACTGTCCTGCATGCGCCCCTCTATCCAGGTCCTTTTGCACCATCTGCTTGGGGTCCGGGAGCAGCTTGAGCTCTCTTTCCTGCTAACTTTCCCCCAATTTTAGTAAATGCCAAAACTTTGGTATTGCAGAACAAGAACCACCTGAATTTACAAGCAAACCTTTTTGAACATCAAATGTTAATAACATTTTTCCTACATGACAGTGCCTCCCATTAAGTTACCAAATAGATATCAAGTTAGTCAAAATTAGTCTAATGTAAAGAGAGAAAATTTATGGGTGTCTCAGGAGCTCTATTGAGGTTTCTACTGAACTTTCTTTAACCAATCAAAGGATAAAACCACCACAAGGTAATAAAACTTCAACCTCTAACCAAAAATCATCCCTTTTTTCTTTTACTCTACTGAAACTAATGCATGGTACGTAAGGCAGCCAACACTGCAGCACAGGAGGTCCTCTGCAAGCTCTCCCCAACAGGGCTAGCTCACCATGAATGGCGGGCATGCCCCAGTGTTCACAGCACCCCAAAACAGTTGGAGCGCTGGGCCACCATGCTGTTCTGCGCAGTCAGGCAACCAAAAACCTGCGCCTTTACAGGCTTCTCAAAAGGAGTGAACCCTCACCCTTACTTAGGACATCCAGGGCAGTGATCAGACCATGGCCCAGTGCTCAGGTGTCGGGATGGAGCTGGGCAGCTAGTGCCCATGTCCTGGGAGGATGGGGAAGCAATGAGCTTTGCAACCAACCTGGAAGGTCATGCAGGCTGCCCCAAGGGCCCTGGGGAGTAGAGAGGGCAGCTCCAACACTCAGTGCTTTGCCTACTGATCCCTCCTCCCCCCAACCCCTGACAGCCACTGACTCTTACTGTCGCCATGGTTTTGCTTTTTCTAGAATGCCATATAGTTGGAGTCACACAGAATGTAGCCTTTTCAGATTGGCTTCTTTTAGTTAGCCTTTCAGTTTCCTTCATGTTTTTTCATGGCTTTATAGCTCATTTGAGTTTTCTTTTGAAGATGCAAATCATGTCTTTGTCCCTCTCTAGCTCTTTCTGCTCTGTCCATATCTTTGTTTCTCTGTCCTGTGTTCCTGCTCTTCTTCCACCAGATCACTTTTGCTCATTCCAATTTCTTCCCAATTCCCTTTCTTCTCTGCACCTGGCTAACTCTCTCTCTTTCTTTGAGATAAAACCACTTTTTCTGTGACCCTTTTATTCAGTACATATGGTGTGAAGCAGTTGTTTGTGTGTCTGATAAATATCTGTCTCCCTTATTTGACAGTAAACTCCCTGAGGACAGGGATCATGTCTGTGTTTGTACCAGCACCAAGTACCCTGTCTGGTGCATAATACATGCTCAAGAAATATTTGTTGAGTGAATGAATGTTGGTCAAAGCAAATTAACTCTTAATCTTTTAGACCTTTTGTTTATTTTACATTATTTTTAAAAAGATTTATTTATGCATACAAGAGTTGGGGTACAAGCCAGAGATGTGGGGGGTGAGAGGATTTACCAGAGACAGAGTGGGGAACAGAACAGGCAGACTGAATGAAATACACTGCTGAGGGGAGCAGCGGGCGAGACAGGAGTGGTCTGCTTTGCCATGAGGGTTGCTCCATGGCTGCCCGGGGATCAAACTCGTGCTGCAGAGGCTGCGGATTGCTTCATAGTGTGGTGCTTAACCCCTTGTGCCACCAGGGAGGCCCTGTTTATTTTACATTATTCCAAATGTCACTGTCCACTGAGTCTCAAGATCTGATCTGGTCCCCCTCCCAGAACACCTTTGAGTCTTTGTCTTTGGCTAAGATGTCCCTTTCCTAATTCTTTCTATTGGAATTTACTCCTTTTAACAACTTTTGTTCTTTATTTACAAGGCCATTAAGCTAAGAGACAAATAAGAAATTGTGTTTTTCTTTTCATATTTCTATTTCTTCTGGATTGAATTTTCCTGAAACATGATGAATGTTTGTTTATTCAGCATTAACCAGCTCACTTCTTGCCCAGTGCTGGCTCTGCATTGCCTGGATGATGCTATCCTTTACTCTTTCTTTTGAGTCATTTGGCCAGTAATTACCATCTGGAGTTTTGGACAAGAAAGGAAAACTGCCATTTTGTTTGGCCCTCATTTGCCCGGTGTATTAAAAAAGACACTCAGAATGGAAGGATTCATTTGAGCTGTTAATAACTCCAAGGCATACTTTTTGCACTGGTTTCCTATGTCTCTTTGGGGAAGACATGAATCAAATCCTTGGCAGAGATTTATGGGACATTAATGTTGGTGGAAGAATTGATCCTTTGTCTTCTTTAAGTGAGGGGGGAGATACCAAACACTGCCCAGCTAAGGTTGAATGATTCCCGTGGTGACTTACATGAGAAGGACTAACCAGTTCCCCCTTATGGAGCATGAAATTGTAGACCTTGGAAGACCCAGAGGGTCTTTTTCTAGTTCTTGTCTGTGGTTCAGCTAAGATCATAATTTAAGACTCTCAGTTCTCTGTTCAGATTCGCGGCATTTCAGTGGCAGAGCTTCCCTGGTTTTGCCTGAAAGAGCTGTCCTGTAAATGCAAAGTGAAGATTCCCAGCTCCATCCACCTGCACTGAATACTGAGGGGCTGCGAAGTGCAACTTTTACTTGGTGGACGGGGAAGATGCGGGGCTTTAGCTCCTGTGTGGACTGAAAAGTCACAGCACACCACCTCTTCCCTCCCTGCGAGCTGGAGATATGTGCCCCCAGTGATGGGGAGGCTGGGGCACCACCTTCTTGGCGGTAACATTTCAAAAAGGATGAGCCCCAGACCTTTGAAAAACATTTCCAGTTAGTAAATTTGGCAAGAGGCTGCCCACTAAACAGATTTATAGACATATCAAAAGGTGAGAGAAAGGATTTATGAGCACTGGGTTTCTCAAGGAGATGTTCTTGCAAGGAGGCGGACGGAATGATCTCTTTCCATTTCAAAAGCGGGGGAGACTTTCTCCCCCTTATAGGTGATACCCAATGCCCCCCAAACTTTTGGAGTAATTAGAACAGAAAAAAAATTATGGTTGTTTTATATTTTTTCCCCCAAAAAAGTCATTTTCATAAAATTGCATTGTAAAGAAATTGGACAAGTAAAGAAAATTATAAGGAAATTAAAAATTACCCTTGGAGGTTCACTGTAAAAGGATGAACTAAATTTGGGACTTCCTGAAAATTATGTAAATATCCTATTGTAATAAATAATGAACTCTTTTGTATTTTTCCGTGATCAAAGCCAGCTCAGTATAATTGAATAAGATGTATACCAAACAAAATATCACATCTTGTATAATTGCAAGAGAACCAAAGGAAGTAATTATAATTATCATTAACTTTCTAATCACCATGCCAGCATAACACCTTCATTTATATAACAAAATGCCAATGAGTGGAAGGATAAAGGTGCAGAAGGTGCTCAGAGCAGGCCTCCAAAAACGTGCCTGTTTGGCTTAATACTTATTTCTAGCTGAAGTCAATCTAGGACCTGAAGTCTCACAAGAAACTTCTACCACTCCCATATCTACCTAGGATAATGAAAAGGGTTTTTACCAGAAACAACCTTCCTATCTGGAAAAAGACCTATCTTTATGGCAGGCAGATGCATAATTACAGACCATCAGGCCTCTGTCATGTGAATCACTGCTTCCTTCTTATATAAGTCCCTCTCCTCTCCCCTTGAAGTCCTAGGAATATATAACCCCACTGTGCCTCATTACCTTTGGAATCTTTGTGGCTGTGTATATTCCCCATATATAATTAAATTTGTATTCCCCCCCACCCCATCCTGTTAACATGCCTGATATTAATTTGATTACTTCACTAGTCTGAGACGAACCTGAAGGGGTGGGGGAAATCTCCACTCCTCCCTGATAGTTTAGGAGAAAGATGTCATGAAAGACAGGACAATCAAAGAACCAGAGATTCCACTGCTTTACCATTCTGCCTTCCAGTGATTCAGGCTGTATCCCTTCCTCCAGTGTCAGCTCGCCATCTCTTCTGCCTTAGTTAATTCTACCTCTGATTCCTCCTTCCTCCTTATACTGAAAGTTAAATGAGCATGCCCCTCTGACCAATCAAGTTTTTTTGCTATTTCTTTCTCCTTGGCTTTTCATTGGTTCAAAATAATTACTGAGCATCTATTAAATGTCAGACACTAGTCTGGTGTCTGGGGATAGCACCATGAACAGGACAGGTGTGATCCATCCTAACAATGCCCTTCCCTTTCCTCCTTCTTGCCCAAACCCTCTCTCCTCCTTACCCTCATTTTATCACCTGGGGCTCTACTCATAATACCTTTCTGAATTGACTTCATCTTCATTCCTAGGGCTCAGCACAAGGGGCCATAGTTCCTATCTTCTGCAGTGGATGAATGAATTCTCCTTTCTTTTTTAAAAAAGATTTATTTATGCAAGAACCAGGGTACAGGCCAAATGTGCGGGAGGGTGAGAGGATTCACCAGAGACAGAGGAGGGAACAGAACAGGCAGACTGACGAAATACACTGCTGAGGAGAGCAGCAGGTGAGACAAGAGAGGTCTGCTGCACCATGTGGAATTCTCGCCAGCTGGTGGTATCGAACCCTCACTGCAGAGGCTGCAGACAGCTTCACAGTGTGGCGCTCAACTGCCCGCACCACCAGGGAGGCCCTGAATTCTCCTTTCTTGAAATTGCATAGTTAGACTTGTTGCAGGAGAAATTAAAAAAACAAAAAACAAAAGAAAGAAAGCTCTTAGAGTCTTTCTACCCTTATCTATGTTTTCCCCCTGCTTATTAAACTATGAGTCAATAAAGTAATTAGATCACTACAAAAATAAATAAGATAGGAAGTGAAACTCCTCCACATTCCCTACCTCTGGAGGTAAGGGTTGGATGTATACTTCTTCAGTTTGTCTCTTTTTATAACTGTATCTATCTATACACACACCTACGTATGTATATTTATATCTTATATATAATTTAAAAAACCAAACAGGATCATAGTAGTCGAATGAATTTTCAACTGCTTCCTCCCCCATTTGCTAGTGTACCTTGACTTGAATTTCCTCTAAATTCCTTTCCAGTGTTAGAGTGTATACTTCTGAATCAAAGATAGAAGCTCACTTATTTTTATTAACTAGTTCTCATTATGGTAAGTGTGTTTTACAGTCTAGAAAGGAATAAAATTAAAGGTATAAGCCTTCTTCCTTCCACAGCCTGTCCTTTTCTCCAAAGTTAATCATTTTTAATGGTCTCCTGAATATCCTTTCAGAAATTTTCAGGGCCAATAAATAAATGTATATATTTAGGTAAGTAAATATGTGTATATACCTTCCATTCCCCCAACCCCCAACACACAGAGACACATCCACCTAAGGAACTCACCCTTTTTACTTATGTAATTCAGTAAAAAGAATTGCAAGTGTTTAACAATTTGGGTTAAATTCTCTTACAGAAGGCCCTAGAAATTCCATAAAAATCCTCAATCAGATCTTGAAATTGTCACACACTCAGCTATCAAGTCATGGCACAAATTGCTTGCCAGTCTCTTTTTCTGCATTAAGAAGCTCACCAATTTTTAGCTGGATAGGCTTCCCAGAGGGAAAACTACATTTCCCAGCCGCCTTGTGATAAGATAGTGTCCACGTGACTACATTTCATCTAACGGGCTATGAGAGGAAGAAGGACCTTGGACCACAGGAATAAGGACAACACCTTAGAGATGAAGACACAATAAAATAAAACACTCCTGGGCTCCTGACAGCTTTGCAAAGCAGAATTGTTAGGGGGAAAAGGATGTCCTAAAGCTAATTCCATACAGGCTTTGTAGACTCCACCCCCCACTCCAGACCAAAGCCAAAAGACACTGGGAACTCCAAATCCCATCCCCACCCAAGGGAAGGTGGCTGGGACCTGAGGGTGGGGTTAAGCAGCCAGGTGTGGTATAAAGCCAGACAAGTGGGCTTTGGAGGGGATCCCCCATTTTGACTCTCCGCCAGCTCACAGCATCCAGCTCTGAGAGTGCCTTTGGGTTTCCAGGTCGGCGGATCGGGTAGGACGCATTAAAGACTTTATTTCCCTATTTTCTCCCTGAGTTGTACATTTCCTTAATTCCCTTTCCCTTGTAAATAAACCTTTTATTAACCTTTTGTGTGTGCCTGCAGTGGAGTATTAATAAGTCCCTATTAAGCGCGCGGGTGAGGACCCACAGACAGGCACCCTGTTTTATTTTATATCGGGGTTGCCCTATAACAGAACCACCTAAATTGCTTGTGCTGGGGGTTGTGGTGTGGGGTGAGGGATATTAAATGAGAAATATCATTTCATCTTCGCTCTTATAAACAAACCACTGTTATTTGACGTTTCTTCTACACACAGGAAGCGTCTGTCCTTATTGTGAGCCTTTTTGAAAGGTATTACTTCCTGGCCCAAAGAGTGGCTTTCTAAATCAGAAAGTACATTTCAAGGGCAGGGAGATGAGTTTCCAATTGCCCAGGTTCAACTTGTGGGTCTCAACCTATCAACGACCTCCTCCAACACGGGCCTGGAGTGTACGTTTTCCTGCTCTCTCTTAGGATTACAAGCCATAGCCCTGAAAGATGAAAGGAAGCTCATGTCCCTAGTTCCTGGAAGTGTCAGACATGATATTTACCTGGTAAGATGCTTCCACATCCTGGGCCTGACTAGATTGGGGAGTAACAGGGAAAAGACCCCAGGAAAGCCCAGGTGTAGGAATAGCAGCGTGTCCTGGAGGGAACCAGGCCCAGGCCCTTATTATCATCTACAACAATAAATGACAATATGGAAACTAAGTCTTGCTAAGGAGAACCATCTACAATTTGGAAATGCAGGGAAAAGTGATCACAGGCTACATTCAGTGTTTTTAAACAAGGCTACCTAGAGCTTATTGACATCTCTCGGGCATTTCAACTCTCTTTGTACTATTAAAAAACAAAATTCAAATGTGTTAAAGGGATGATTAGCTTTATTCAGACATTCAAAAATGGGGCAGCACCCATCTAGCTGGAGAGGAGCTCCGAGAAGCTGTACAGAAGAACTTTTCCAGGCAGAAGGTGTTAGGCAGGAGCCAGCGAAGGCAGGCGCCAGGAATGTATCAAAGGCTAGCAGTCCCCCAGTGCCAGAGGTTTCTGGGCTGATAAAAACTTGTGAAAAAGCAAAAACAAATAAACCCTGAAATCTCCCAGACCCGGCTTGTTAGCACCACAAAGACTCACACCTTTGAAGAAAGGCAGATAAAGACCAGGGATAGCAAGAAGCACCGAGGGAAGGCAATTCTTTGAACCTGGCCAGTCTCAGGGCGACAAAAAATAATTCCTCAAAATCACCAAATGTTCTCTGCCTCTTAAGGGTGGAACTAAGAGCCCAAACAGAACCAGAGAGACCAAAAACCAGACCACTCAGATCTCTCTCTCTTCCTTTGGGTGTACTTTAATCCTGTCTTTGCTTTTGCTTCTGCTAAAAAACGTGACTTTGAATTCTCATGCTACTTAATGACCAAGGTATTCCAAACGCAGGAGCAAAGGCAAGGATGGGAATCAGAGGGTCAGGCAAGTCCTGATTGAGTCAAAAGCCCATGTCGCGGGTGAAAGGTTCGGCGCGATAGAGAACAGGAGAGCCAGGCCAAGCTTTCTCAAAGGGGAAAATTTATTGCGCCCCGGGCGGACTTCATGGACCCAAAGTGGGGGCCAGTGAAGCCACGCACGTTGTCAGGGGGAGGCAGGCTTTTATAGGGTGAGGAGAGGTCAGGTGGAAAACTGGGTTCGTATGGCTGGAAAAAGTTTGTAGGGCGCGAAAAGATTTATAGGGCGGGGGAGGTTCATTGTCTGAATCCTCTAGGCAGGCTTCCGCATTGCTGTCCCCAAGTGGGCTGCCTGGTGGGTTTTTGCATTCCGGCCTCCTGCATGGACCTTTCAGTGGGGAGGCTGAAGCTGTAATTAAATCTCAGTTTAGTTACATGGGATTTAGCCTGTTGTCTTGTTTTTAAGAACAAAATTGATTAGGGACCAGATGTCTTACATAAAATGAATCAAGTGTGATGATTTTTTTCCTTAAGATTGATTTATTTATGCATACAAGAGCTGTGGTATAGGACAGAGGTGATAGAGGACAGGAATAGATAAAAACTTAAAAATGTGTCGCAACAAGACCAGAAACCTGGCTCACACCAGGAGGTGGGGGCAGAAGAGATTAGCATAACTGTTATAGGGCAGGGAGAGGGGCAGCCCAAACCCCGCAAACCTGCCTATTCTACATGGGTTCTGCCATCCGCCGCATCAACACAAAACATAGGAGACTTTAATGGGAAGGAACTTTAATAAAACTAGGAAACAATACAGGAAAGGCAAAGAGTCTAGTTTCTAAATGAAGCACCCAAAGTTACCTGTCCCCTCGTGGGTAAAACTCCATCCATATGGGATCGGCCCAGAACAAGGCCCCAAAGCCTGCCACAAGTCTAAAGCATCTTCCAGTGGGGACCCACAGAAAAGGGTCAGAAACAACCAGACAAGCCCGGAAGGAAAAGAGCAAAATCAACATCAAGATAAAAGCTGCCATGGTCCCCTCCCCACGGGTCTCACCCACATCTGTGTCACCCAGTCCACAACCAAAAGACAAGCGCAGTTTCTTCACGTGTCTCCTAGGCTCCATGCGCCTCCTCCAGGTCTCCTGGCTCCATCCTGCTTCCTTCCTCAGTCTCTTCTGCAGCTTCTCCTCTTCCTGCTCAGCTCCACCCTCCCTTGGGTGGGGCAGGGAACCTCCCCCTTTCCTGGGGACCATCCTGTTACATCACCAACCACACAGTTGCGGAAACTGGTATCTTGAGGCAAGGACTCCTAGATTACAAAACATAACATCCAAGCAGGTAGCCTAGGGTGCATCCAAAGAAAAAGATATGGAGATTGAGCCCATTGTGGAATCTCTGTCCCTTTCAGATGCTGCAGTTATCCAAAATTAGCAACCAACTGACAGCTCACAAGGAGTGGCCTCTCCCAAACATGAGACTGCATCAGTGCAGTCTCTGCAGTGGCTCGGGGCAGCACTCCCACTGCCCACCTGTCACTATGGAGGTGCCTCTTTTCACCAACCCTCTCCCTCTGCAGGGCAGCAACCTCCTGCCTGCCCATGACCTGTCAAGGCCACCCGCCTGCAACCATGCAGGCCTCTCTGAGCACACCTGTCCCTTCTCGGGGAGCTCTTCTGCCTGCTGTGTCTATGTAAGTGTCTTTAACTATTTTATCCCTTTCCTAATAAACCTGCTCTTGAAATACAACTACCATCTCTGTCTCATGGAGAAACTCGCCAAGAAACTCTCCGCGTGCCGATGAAACGGGAGCTCTGGTGACGCGTTTCCCAGAGTGAACCCAAGGACCCCGCACTCCAAACCCACAGACTCCAGAAACCACAACAAAACTAGTAAAATTAAGGTCCTGTGAGCACCATGCGTGGAGTGTGCTAAGAATGACTTGCAAATAGACTTTGGTTAAGCAACGAACCCTGAGCGTCATGCTGTGATACAGCAGATGTTAAGTGACCCTGCCAAGAAGCAACAGATGTTACCTGCTTATGCCAGGGATATGCCCTAAAAGGGGATAGAGCTGGGTGCCCACAACAGCCTAGTCAGATCAGTTCAGAGAGTGGTATAACCAGGGCCAAGGGTTAGCCCACTGCTCCCTTTGGACTTCCCTGGCTCATGCCGTCTGACAACCATCCGGGCATGGGGTAGATTCCCGAACGTCAGGAATTTCGATAGCTGACTCCTGCTAAATTCTTCTCATTTGTTTAGGGCTAGTTTTTACCGTTTGTGGCAATTACTAAAATATGCAGTTAATAGCAAATCTGCAAAATGTTTAGTGATCGATTACTGAATAACTAATTTGACAATGATGGCACTGCATGATGCAAGCCGTACATTCTTAAATAATTAATGAACTTCTGCAGGCCGTAAATTTAGAATTTGGTTCTGTTGTAACAAGTGATATGTCACACCTAAAAAACTTCTGGGAACTAAAGGCTGTAAACATTTCCGGCCAAGTCTTTGATATGGATTTGTGGTCTTTTAAGGCAAAGGCCATATGAAGAAGGATAACTCTTTTGCTTTAAAGTTAGAAATAGCAGTTAGTTGACAAGATAATTAGAAGAATGACAGGTAAAAATATTGTTTTGAATTATTAGAAGAGTTTCGCTTGTCTTTTGTAGTTTGGGGTCAGAGAAATGTCAGTGCAGCTTATGCAGCACTGGATTCTTTGGGTTTTTGATTTTTAATGATTTATTATTTTTTATTAAATTAGAATTGTGTGATAGTTTAGTTATAGGAGTAGGAAGTTTTTTATTTTAGTGGTAATTATGTTTTTTAATAAGATTAGGACATTTCATAAAGTTTGATCAATTAGTAATTTAATTTCTATAAGGAAGTTAATCATGTAAGTTTTGTTGTTTGCTGGTTTTAATATTAACAGAACAATTACTGAGTTGTGGAAAATAAATGATTGTTATGGGGACATTTTGTGTGGTAAATGTATTTATAGAACAATGTGAAAATGATTGTTATCACCTCGGCAAGGGGTCGAAGAACCCCAGGCTGACTTTGAAAAAATGCCACAGTTGTTAGTTTTTCACTTGAAAGCAAGCACTTATGTACTCCCACGGCTTGCTTGAAATGTATAAATAAAGTACTGCTGAGACCCTCTGCAGAAGATGCTTGCACTGCACAAAGTGTCTGTGTCTCCTCATTTTCCCTTTATACCCTCAGATTCGTCTACACCGTCTCGTCCTTACGGGAACCCCTGACACTTTTTGCCGGAGCTGGCTTCCGGCAGACCGCCTCTCAGGAACATCCTTTGTTGGACGGGCCCTCCGGCCTAGAGACTTCCACGGCTTGGTGAGCTGCCCTGGCAGAACATCGGACTATGACACTTTGCACTGTGGCTTTGGTTGAAACAACTTTGGGTTCATTGGGTTGGCTTTTCCTGTTCGATTTAATAAATTCTCTTTTGAGAGCCAACCCCCAACTGAAGCCTGCTTCTCACTCACGACAGTCTTGAACTTTTCAAGGATGTTTGTACAGTGAACAGCTTTGGAAGAAGGATGATTTCCCCCTTCAGGACAAAGGGCAGGCGTGTTTGCTGTGCAACGTAATTTAGGCACTGTCTGAAGGCAGGGGCAGCGCTGCTACTGCCCGCTGTGAAACATTCCGGTTCTCCACGCTCAGACTCCTCTGCTATACACTCACGGCCCTCTAGGAAGGATCCTGAGTTATACATTGTTAGGTGATTTCATCATTGCATGAGCATCTTAGGGTGTGACCGCACAAACTGGAAGGTCCAGCCGCCACACATCGCGGCTGCACCCCGTGGCTCCTCAGGGCCCCCGGCGTCTGTGTGCTCCCTTGTGACTGTCCTGCAGCCCACATATGTGCAGCTCTTCTACCCCCTTCATCTTGCCCTGTGGGAATTTAGATCGGGGGAAATGGCCCTCTGAATGCTGACACTCTGGCTATCAGTAAGAAACTGTCCTTTTCCCTCTGACCCGGGAGCCTCATGTCTTTTACCAACATCCATGAAGCCGTAGTTAGAAAACTGCCCATTCTCAGTGCCATCCTGGCTTGTGTGTCCTCTGTCACCCAAGAGGGGGTTGGCAGCAGGACGGCAAGTCTTCCTCTTCTGGAATCTGGAATCACTCCTGGGTCTCCCTGGAATTGCCTGCTTTCTGTTCTGAAGTCTGGGGTTCTATTGTGAAGAAGGCATTTCTGGAACAATCATTGTAGGGGAGAATGAGAGACAGTGCAGGACGGCATATCAGGTTTCACCTCTGGCACGGAACATTGTCTAAGCTCTGGCTACTTGCATACTACCTTGAGCTGTAGTTTCGCCCACTCTGTCTGCAGTCTCCACAATGGCTTTCATGATGTTATTTTTAATTGACTTGCCCTTTTATTTACTTGGATCATTCTTTTAGCAGGAAACAATATCACTATGATAGATGGGAAATCCAGGGCTGCTTGCTGCAAGGACAGGAGACACCTTTGCAAATAAACACAATGAAAACAAAATAGCGTCACCAAATGAAACCAGACACAATTGCCTCTGAAGACCGTGGTCCTGCTCTGACCATTGGGGGCGGGGTAGGGGGTATTAGCCAGGCCAGGGAGGTTTGAAGACAGACACTTTCCAAACAGTCTTTCTCCTGGATGTAATGAGCAGAGTCAGGAGATGAGTGAAATCAGAGGCTCTTCCTAATCTTGCGATTCAAGCTTATCTGACTCTATGGGAACTTCTGACCCAAACTTTTCAAGCACCAGCAGAGGTGTGGGTACCCGCTTGCGAAACGCTAGTCAGCAGTGGTATCTAACCAGGAGATTCTCCTGCTCGTGAAGCTCCTCCCTCAGCCACCTCAGCACTTGCTGTCTCCACTGTCCCCCAGAACAGCCAGGGGCCTCTCCAGAACTCAGCCTCAACATCACTCACCTCTCAAGACTCCAGCTTCCCCTTAGGATGATGTCCAGGCTCTTTAACCAGAAGTCAAGGTCATCCACAGTCTGGGCTCATGTCCCTCCTACACTGCCCTGCATTGTAGTCCAGAAGGATCACTTACAGTTTACTCATCCCCTCAGCCATTAATTGAGTGCCAGCTAGTGTTTTGTTCACCTCTAAATGGCATGTGGATGACATTTAAATATCATTCTCAGAAGGAACAAAAATATCTTGTTAAGCATGAAGCCCTGAAGCCCTTCTCTCTCTCTCCCCCCAACCCCCGCCCAATTTCCTGGCCCTGAGGAGTGGGGCACAGTGCTAAAGTGCTAGGTTAAAGACTCAGGGGTCATGTCACAGATTTAGCACAAGGAGGCGGCTGGCTGATGCTTCCACCTGAGCTTCCTTTGGAATTGCCCTAAGGTGTCTGTGGTCAAAGCATCACTAACTCGCCCAGCCTTTGCTCCCCAGCCTTCAGAATTGTGCACATCACATCCAGCACCTAAAGCAGTCCTGTTTATTCATCCTGTACAAAACTCTGCAAGTAATTGCTGGAGTCAAAAACCTGGAGATAGGATGTTCGTGATTGAAGAAGAGACCGCAGCAGAGGTCCTTTCCTTCCCAGCAGAGGACCCCATGGCTTGGCCTCATGGGTGTCCCATGAACAGACTGCAGGGGGCCATGCAGGAGGCAGAGCCATAGCGCCTGTGGGCCCAAGTCTCACAACAGCTTCTCCCATTGCCTCATCAGTATTTAAAGGGCGCCCTGTGTGTTTGACCCTGTGTTAGGGCTGGCAACAAGTTGCTGGGCCTAGAGGAAGCCTCTCCTGTTTCCCAGCCCTAGAGTTTAGGTGCCCACTCTTGGCAGCGGTGAAGGCCTGCTTACTGTTGTCTTTGTTCCACTTGCTGTAAAACGCCAGCAGGAAATGAAATGTTAAGGTGGTTTCCTTAGGGTGTTGACCCTCCCCCACCTTACAGATTTCTGGCTGTCTGATTAAAGCGCACCTTAAAGATTCAATTCCTGTCTCTGCTGGCATTAGGTGGTAACAGGTGGCCTGAGCTCTGGTCTTCTGGTTACACTGACACTGTCACTTGGTGTTAGAATCTCACCATTTGAATCTTGAGGTCACAGAAGCATTCGGTGCACTCAGTGAATAACTGAATGTGGGGTGGAGGGAGATTGCGCAGGTTTTTGCACTGTTGGCCTCTGTGGCTATCACCTGTGGCCTTGAATGCAGGAGGCCTTGGGGGCATGGGCTCGGGGTATGCACGCCTGATGGTGGACACCTGGAGTATGGTGTGGGCATGCATAAGTGGGCACCCTGAGCCTGAAGGCTGAGCCCATAAGGGCAGTGTCACCGAGGGCAGAGTGCAGGAGGAAGCGGCAGAGGATGGTGAGGAGAGACGGTGGAGCCACTGCTAGGAGAGGAAGGACCAGGAGAGAAGGCCACAGAGCCCAGAAAGAGTAAAGATTCGAGGGAGCTGGGGGGCCTGTCAGCCTTCCGCCCCCCCCCCAGGCCCCCCTACTTGTCCTGCAGCTGGTTGCTTCACTACAAATGGTGTCGAAAGATCATTAAAAGGCTGAAAAAGCTACTGAGGGCTCTGGACTCTCCTTTGCCTGCTCTGCCCTACTGCCTTTCTGGCGCTACACTGAAATTCTACCATTATTAATTCATTCCATTGGATGAATGCAAACCACAGGAATGCACTCAGGTTCTGGGGCCGCTGAGTTATTTAGTTTTGTTAATCTATTTAAAATAGGTGATGCATTCTCATGGTTCAGAGTTGTTACTGGTGTGAATGATAGTGTTCACCTGGAATGTTAGTTTCAAGGATGGCTAGACAAAGAGTTTATTAGAAAATCAAAGTGAGGAGTCAAACCTGTTGGAAGAGACTGATGGGAAAGGGGTGCCAGCCAGCAGATTTTTGGATCCTCCCTCTGGGAGGATTTGGCTTTATAAAATTTTGAGATGGGGCCGTCCCTGGTGGCCTAGAGATTAAGTCTCAGCGCTGTCACCACTAGGGTCTGAGTTCTATCCCTGACCAGGGAGCTACCCACATGGTGCAGCAGACCTCTCCTGTCTCCCTGCTGCTCCCCTCAGCAGTGTATTTTGTCAGTCTGCCTGTTCTGTTCCCTGCTCTGTCTCTGGTGAATCTTCTCACCCCTCCATACCTTTGGCCTATACCCCAGTCTGTTTATGCAAAAATAAATAAGTTAAAAAAAATTAAAAAAAATTTGATATAGGTGGGGTTTTCTGAGAAAAACAGGAGGTAAAAATAAGGAATTTTTGTATGTCAACCTTGTAAAAAGTAAAGAACTTGTTCCACAAAAAGTAAGAAAGAAAATAGAGTTTACATTAGAGACTGTAACAGGGTGGTGCCCAGAAAAGGGGGAGGTTCCAGGTTCCCTGCCCCACCCAAATGGAGGGTGGAGCTGAGCAGGGAGAGGAGAAGCTGCAGAGGAGACTGAGGAAGGAAGGAAACAGGATGGAGCCAGAAGGAGACCTCAAGGAAGCGCATGGAGCCGAGAGACACATGACGAGACTGCGCTTGTCTTTTGGTCGTGGACTGGGTGACACAGATGTGGGTGAGACCCGTAGGGAGGTGACCATGGCAGCTTTTATCTTGATTTTGATTTTGCTCTTTTCCTTCCGGGCTTGTCTGGTTGTTTCTGACCCTTTTCTGTGGTCCCCACTGGAAGATGCTTCGGACTTGTGGCAGGCTCTGGGGCCTTGCTCTGGGCCAATCCCATTTGGATGGAGTTTTACCTATGAGGGGACGGGTCACTTTGGGTGCTTGATTTAGAAACTAGATTCTTTGCCTTTCCTGTGTTGTTTCCTAGTTGTATTAAAGTTCCTTCCCATTAAAGTCTCATATGTTGTGTGTTGATGCGGGGATGGCAGAACCCATTTAGAGCTGGCAGGTTTGCGGAGTCTGGGCTGCCCCTCTCCCTGCCCTGTAACAAGACTAGTACAGCACAGGAGAAACAAAGAATTCATTCCTTTTGTTTTTGTTTTTTTTTTGTGGGCACTGTTTTCTGGGACTTGTTACTTTCCAGACTGGGCAGCATACACAGCTTAGGCTCATTAGCTGTGATAGGCAATTTGCATATGAGAAAGGCAAGAATTTAAAAGGTGAAATATTTTAACATTAAGAAATGCTCTTCTGGTTGGATGTCTGCGGGTCCTTCCAGATTGTGATTATTGTAAATTTGTGCCCATGGGCAGGGCTGACTGAGTGCCCTTCACACCAGTGCTCCTTGATCTACTGACTTTTTGTCTTCTTTTTGCCTGTAATATATTTTTTCTTTTTTTTAAAGATTTATTTGTTTATTTTTTTGTTTGTTTATTTATTTATTTATACAAGCACTGGATACAGTCAGAAGCACAGGAGGGTGAGAGGATTCACCAGAACCAGAGCGGGGAGCAAAACAGGCAGACAAATGAAACACACTGCTGAGGGGAGCAGCGGGCACTGCAGGAGAGGTCTGGGCACCATGTGGGACCTTCACCGGCCGCCGGGGATCGAACCGGCGCTGCAGAGGCTGTGGGCAGCTTCGCAGCCCAGCGCTCAACCGCTGTGCCACCAGGGGAGGTCCAAACAATATAGTTTCTAAATCAAGCACCGAAAGTTACCCATCCCCTCATGGGTAAAGGTCCACCCAAATGGGATTGGCCCAGGGCAAGGCCCAAAAGCCTGCCACTACTCTAAAGCACCCTCCGGTGAGGACCCATAGAAAAGTGTCAGAAACAGCCAGACAAGTCTGTGAGAAAAAGAGCAAAATCAAAATCAAGATAAATGCTGCCATTGTTCTCCCCTTGGGTCTCTTACCCATATCTGTTTCACCCAGTCCAGGACCAAAGACCAAGTGTAGCTTCATTACATGTCTCTGCTCCATGTGCCTCCTCCAGTCTCTTCATTGCTCTCCATCTTGCCTTCTTCCTTCTTCAGTTTTCCTCTCCAGCTTCTTCTCCTCCCTGCTCAGCTCCAACGTCCTTTGGGTGGGCCAGGGAACCTGGAACCTCTCCTTTTCCTGGGCACTACCCTGTTACAATATGACTAATCAAAATTAAATAGAACAAAACCAAACTGACTTTACTATCATACGAAGAGTCATTGGTGTAACTGTTACAGGCAACCCTGATGTGAAATGGGTTGGCCTGACTGTGGGTCCTCACCCACGCGCTTAAAAGGGACCTATAATGAGACTCAACTGCAAGCACAAACAAAAAAATGTTAATAAAGGATTTATTTACAAAAGAAGGGGAAATGAAGAAATGAATAAACTCAGGGAGAAAGAGGGAGATAAATTCGTGAATGCGTCCTACCAGTTCCGCTGAGCTGGAATCCCTAATAGCATGCTGAGAGCTGGCGAAAAACCAAGAGACCTCCCCGAGGCCCACAAGTCTGGTTATACACCAAATCCCGCTGCTTAACTCCACCCTCAGTTCCCAGCATCCTCCCTTCGGTGGCGATGACATGGGATTTGTAGTCCTTGGTGTCTTGGAGCTCTTTGGTCTGGGGTCGGGGTGGGGCCCATGAAACCTGTGTTTGTGGAGTTTGTTCAGGACATCCTTTCCTGCAACAACCTCAGTGCTTGGAATGATGCTGGTTATTGCGTTTGCTCACCTCGGGTCCTGACATTCTTTCTTGAGGACAGGGCAGGTGGAAATCAAGGAACTGCCATTAATGTCGGTTCAGAGAGGTGTTGGTTGCAGAAAGCGGAGTCCGTGAGTTCACACTGGGGAAAGTTTCACCAGAGCTCCACTTTCCACAGCATGTGGCAAGTTTCCCAGGCGAGTTTCCCCATGAGGTGGAGATGTTTAGTTATATCTGAAAGGGTAGGTTTATTATAAAAAGGGATAGAGGAGTAAAGGACACTTGGAGAGCTGCCTCTGCGGCTTTGCAAAGGGAGAAGGTTGGTGAAGAGAAGCATCTGCATAGTCACAGGGGCAGGACAGCTCCTGCCTCTTGCCAGTGAGGAAATTGAACTGATAGAGTCTTCTCTTTGGGAGAGGCTCATCCCTTTGCTGAATTTTTTTTTAAAGATTTATTTATTTATGCATACAAGAACTGGGGTGCTGGGGGTGGGGCGGTGGGTGAGAGGATTCACCAGAGGGAGGAGCAGAAGAGGCGGGTTGACGGAAATACACTGCTGAGGGGAGCAGCGGGCAAGATAGAACAGGTCTTCTGTGCCACGTGGGTAGCTGCCTGGCAGGCCAGGGATTGAACTCAGAGGTGGCGGACAGCTTCATAGTGCGGTGCTTAACCCCTTGTGCCACCAGGGAGGCCCTGTGGAATTGTTTTTTAAACTTGATTAGCTAGGAGGAATCTGAAAGGACCCAGATTCTCTAATGGTCCATATCTCCTCCTTGAGAAATTTGTTTATTTGATTTGGCTAGGTAGATTGAAAGGATCTGAGGTTTTTATAATGGTCCTCAGTTTCCATATTCCTTCCCCTAATCTGTTCTCCAGATCTTTTCTATAGCTAGTTTACATTTCCGCCCTCACCTCCAGCTTTTGGCCTTGTGTGAGCCAGTTTCTGGTCTTGTGATGCCTCCTTTCCAAATTTCCTACTCGTAGCCTCCATTATTATTAGAATAAGGAGTTGGTGCTAGGAAGGTAAAACTACATCCTTCCATGATGTTCTCACTCAATGGACTCACCACAGTCAGGGACACAGTTTAATAACCCATTTGGATTTAGATGTATTTTCTGAACATTCACAGGTCAGAGTTGGCTCAACATTTCTGGCACATTGTCATGATAATTGAATTACTTCTTCAGGACTAAGAGAAGCATCTGTTAGATATGTTGACTGATTATCTGACTTCTGTTCAAATCAGAGAATGGAAAGGAAGCTGGAGCAATCCCCTGGTTGGGTTTACTCCCAAACTATGATTCCACACTTGCCATTTTTACTGTTAAGTCAGTATTTTGGGGCCAACACATCCATTCATCACACTGAGAAACAGTGTGTCCATGGGGGGACACTTGACACCCCAGAATCTGCCTTGTGGTGTCAAAGAAACCAATTGCTCCATCCAACACTTGTGAAAGAGCTGTGATGGTGGCTTTTCTCAAGGGTCAGCTGCAGTGGTTTGCAGGGGAGGAGAGAGACTGGCTCAGGGCCAAGTATAGCACAAAACATGGGGATGTATAGCCTAGGGACAGGGGTGAGGGGGTGGTCAGTGGAGGGAAATTACTGAGAGGGTGGGGCAATTCTCCTTAAACTGCCCTAACCGGTCTTTTGCTGAAGGCAGCCTGCTGTGATCAGACAGCAGCCAGTGGATGGAATTGGATTATTATAAGTAGCGGGCAGGTGTTTTGGCTAAATGGACTTACTGGGATTTTTGCTAAAAGCAGGCGACGCAATGATGAACAGGAAAGCCCAACAGTTGAGGTGTCCTTGAAGGAAGAGAGTTCAGAGACTAAACACTGGTCAAGAAGAGAATCTTTGTCAATGGCTAGGGCTCTGTGTTTTGAGGGTGGTGTTAAAAGATAAACTGAGGCATTTTAAGAGTTTAAGTAAAAATCATAAAGATTGATGTGAAGTGGGCAGCATCCAACCTAGCTGAGTCTGCTCCCCGGAAGAAGAGGTCCAGCTACAGAAAGGGGT